GTAGGCAGATAACTACTTTTCCCATCAACATTTGTTGAAGAGGCAGTCTTTTTTGCATCGTATGTTTTTGGCACCTTTGTGAAAATTAGGGTGGAAATATCTGTGTAGATTCATATCTGGGACCTCTATTCTGTTCCACTGGTCTTTATATCTCATTTTGTGCCAGTACCGTGCTGTTTTTATTGCTGCCACTTTGTAGTTTCGTTTGAAGTCAGGTATTATGATACCTCCAGCATTGCTCTTTTTGCTCAATATTGCCTTGGCTATTTGTGGTTTTCTGTGTTACCAAATGAACTTTAGGGTACATTTTTCATTCTGTGTGATGAATATCATTGGGATTTTGATGGGAATTGCACTGAACATGTAGATTGCTTTTCATAGTATAGACATTTTTACTATGTTGATTCTGCCAATCCATGAGTATAGGAGATCTTTCTACCTTCTGTAGTCTTCCTTGATCTCTTTCTTCAGTGGTTTGTAGTTCTCCTTGTAGAGGTTTTTACATCCTTTGTTCATTCCTAGATATTTGATTTTTTTGAGGATATTATAAATGGAATTGTTTTCCTATATTCTTTCTCAATCTGTTCATTGTTGGTGTATAGAGTTTTCTAAGTTGATTTTGTATCCTGCTACTTTGCTGAAGCTGTTTGTGGTGTCTAGGAGTTTTGGGGTGAAGTTTTTCAGGTCTTTAGGTACAAAATCATGACATCTGCACAGAGGGATAGTTGGACTACTTCTTTACATATTTATATTCCTTTTCTTTCTTCTTCTTGCTTTATTGCTCTGGCTAGGAATTCCAGGACTATGTTGAATAGGAGTGGAGAGAGTGAATTATCTCATTCCTGACTTTAGGGGAAATGGTTTCAGTTTTTCCCCATTAAGTATAATGTTGGCTATAGGTTTGCTTTATATAGCCTTTATAATGTTGAGGTAAGTTCCTTCTATTCCTAGTTTTCTTAGAACTTTTATTATGAAGTGGTGTTGAATCTTATCAAAGGTTTTTTCTGCATCTATTGAGATGATCAAATGGTTTTTGTCTTTGCTTCTATTAATGTACTGTATTACATTTATTGATTTACTATGATGAACTATCCCTGCATCCCTGGAATGAAGCTGACTTAGTCATGGTGAATGATGTTTCTGATATGTTGTTGAATTCGGTTTGCCATTATTTTATTGAGGATTTCTGCATCAATGTTCATTGAGGAGATTGTCCTGTAGTTCTCCTTTTTGGATGTGTCCCTGTCCAGTTTTGGAATAAGTGTAATACTGGCCTCATAGAATAAGTTAGGTAGTGTGCCTTCCCTTTCTATTTCATGGAAATGCTTAAGGAGGGTTGGTATTAGTTTTTCTTTAAAGGTCTGGTAGAATTCAACAGAGAATCCATTAGGTTCTGGACTTTTTTTGTGGGGGGAGACAATTGATGCTTCAATTTCATTACATGTTACAGATCTGTTTAAGTGGTTACTATCCTCTTGGTTCAGTTTTGGATGGTCATAAGTATCTAGAAATTTGTCCATTTGTTCAAAATTTTCCAGTTTATTGGAGTATACGTTCTTAAAATAATCTCTGATGATTTTCTGGATTTCCTTGGTGTTTGTTCTTTTCTCCCTTTTTTTGTTTCTGATTTTACTAATTTGGGTCTTTTCCCTTCTCATCTGAATATACATATACATACAATATTTCATACCTGTGAATGTGTGTACATATGTATATTTTGGATAATACATATAGTATTTAATGACATAAAATTCCTTTAGAGATATTCTGAGTTTATATTCTTCAGTAATTTACATAGGATGCCTTTTTATATTCTTAAAGTAAATTCTGAAGGTAATAACATGCCACCTCGAGTTTTTAAAAATAAAGAAAACCATAAACAATTATGTGGAACCTTTTATTACCCATTAAGTGAATATTTAAATTCAATCATAATAAACATCTTTCCTTCAACAAAAAATATAAAATTATAACCAAAGGTCATCCTCACTGCATTGGTCATCTAAGAAACAGGATAGGGCTGCTGTGTTGCTAAACAGACCTTCCTCAACTCTAGAACACCGCTTAGCACAGAGCAGATACTCAGTACTTTTATAATTGGGAAAGTATCAAAATGGGTCTTTATCTTCAATGTGAGAACATTTTGTACTTTTTTCTGATAAACTCAAACACAAGGTCCAAATCTTACAAATATGTTAATAGCCAGGAAGATCAAAACACAAAACATATTTAAATATCTCTTTAAAATACTGCTACATTCAATTCTATCAGACTTAGAATTTTTGTAAAGTTATATTTTTGGATTTTAATAACCTCAGATAATTTCTTTTAAGCAAACATCATACATATTAGTTAGTGTAAATATGTTCCACTGGAATTCACATTTGATATGTGTTTATATATTTAAATTATACCTCCAGAAAAAAGTATCATATAGAAATCCAAACATGTACTCTTAGAGGGAAATAAATGTCTCATTAATCTTTGTCTTGTGCATAACATCAACACTGTCTTCAGTATGTTGGGAATTAAATACATTTTTGTTGAATTAAACCATATAAATAGTTCAGGGAAAATAGCTCTGTTAGTTTTCACTTGAAAACACACTAAAGCAAACAGTGGCTTTTGATGTTAGAAGATCAAATGAAAAGTCACAATAGCCACAGGAAATTAATGCAAGGATATCAGATTAATTTTCCACTAAAGTGAAATGTGAATTACACTTACTCCTTAAAAAGAAGATAATGTTCTACTACCTATCAGTCAACATTATGTGAAATGCATTTATCTTCAATTATAAGTGCCTATTTCCGTGAGGTGTGAAACACATTCTATAAAGGCAAATGCCACAGGTAAGTAACAGTCACAGACAACCAAATAGATTCTTGTATATAGGCAGTACTATGGTTTGGACAAGTGTCCTCAGATGTGGATTGGTCTCCAGCTTGGTGCTATTGGGATGTGGTATGATCTTTAAGAAGTGAAGACTAGTAAGAGGACGTCAGGTCACTGTGGTCATGCCCTTGAAGGGGATATTGGGACCACCTTCCCATATCTCTCTTTGCTTCCTGTCTTTAATGAGGTTAGCAGCAATAATGTTTTGCCTCAGCACAACACCCAGGGGAGCCACCTGATCATGGATTGAAGTCTCCAAAACTGTGAGAGTCTTCAAAACTGTAAACCATACTTCTTTTTTAGTTTATTATCAGTAACAGAAAGTTGACTAACACAGGTGCATTATTAACATAAAACTGTTCATCAACAGATTACTTAATAAGGCTAAGCAATGACACAGGAGATGCTGAAGTAACAAATGTGGACTCTACCTGAAAATACTAAGAATGAAAAAATGCCTGAACTTTGCTCTGACTCTGACAGTTGGAATGGAAAACCAGGGCTCACGAAGTGCTGTACTTGAAATGTACCGTGTATAAAACAGTCCATCTGTTGTGGTATATCTGGGCACTTTGTGAGTTTAATCAGAACACGGAGAAACTAGAGATGACAATAATCTATTTTCTGTGAGTATATGAAAACAAGTTTATAAACCACCATTCTCTTTGTTTCCATTAAAAACGAGGCTACATAAGTGAGGCAGATGGGAGTTGGATAAAGAATGCCATCCTTATTTCTAGTGTTATTTTAAATTTTTTTGTGTGGTTCAACCAAACTTTTGAGAGAACTTGATCAAGCTGGTTCACCAAGGTAATTTTTTCATGAAGGCAATGTCTTCATTTGGGTTTTAGGATCATGCCGTCATAGAATGAATTTTAGAAGCTTATAATGACCCTTCCAAAGCTTAGTCCTAATCAAGACCTCTTCAAATGTGTATTTCCACAGTCCAATTCAAATGCCTGCAAGCATGGCCCCTCTCTGAAATTTGTCCTTCCTCAGAGCAGTTCTACACTGAAGGTCTCAAACTCCACAAAGTTCCTCATGGACAGCAATTTCCTAGTCTTCAGTTTTCCCACATCCACAACGTCTTCCCTTTTGCTCTGGACCTCTATCCTCTAGATATTTCCCTAATTCTTGGTTCACTAGTAGTAAGTGCGCCATGTAGGCAAGTCATTTTCAACCGGTGGCCACCAGGAGTGAGAATAATACCTAATATTTATGTAATACCTCATAATTCAGAAAGGGCCTTTTCTTATTACATTTCATTTCTAATAGATCTTATGATTATTACTCATATAGAAGTAGCAAAAAAAGAAACTTTTGAGAGGCTCCCTGAAAGTTGTGGACATTAGATTGTAGTGAGTTATTTGTACTTTTGTCCTTGGTCTGCCTCAATGGCTCACAATGACAAGGGAATGAACAGAAGTTGAGACCATGTCTTGTGATTCCACTGTTCTCAATGAAAAACAGTTGACTATTTCCTGGCACAAGGATTAAGATTCCCACCAAATAAGAAACCGTTTCACAAAAAGAAATGCAAACTAGATAAAGCAGTCAACAATGTGTACTGGTAGTAAGGCAGGCAGAAAAACAACAGTTGTGTTAAACTGAGTTCTACATTAGCTGGCTTGGAAGATTAAGTTAAAATAAGTTCAAAGAAGCTTAATCATGTTTAAAATAGGTATACATCCATTTGCTTCCAACTATCTTGAAAAAGCAACAATGATGCAATACTATAAATCTACCGCTAAATCATTCCAAGTTTTTTGCAGCAAGCTTTGTACTCTCATTCTACATTCCATACCATCTGCCTAGGGTGAATATTTAGTTTTCATTCACATCCTGCTTCCTAACTCTTGAAATAAATGTATCTTCTTAAAAATCAGAAAAATGTTCCACTAAACCAAAGGGGGATAAGTACCTGTATTTCAAATAAACTGATACCAATGCTTTGTAATCGACTACTGCCATCACCTGTGTTAATAAAACAATACTTTCATGTTCATCAACAAAAATAATAGTGTTGAATAGGAATAATTTCTGTCAATCAGATGGCAATTTTTTCTACATAGAGAGAAACAACACTCAAAGCTTAATTCTGTTACCTCTAAGTGACTTCGCCTCTCAGCAATCACACGTTCATCTTTGTTTCCAAATAGTTTCTTTGGGGGAAATTCAAGGGCAGCAAGCTGAAATACATGTTTTTAAAGAAATGCATTACCATTAGACTTATGATCTTTGGGTTATTATTAAATTTCTATTTGGAATCACTATCACAGGATAAAAAGATAAAGTTTAAAGATGGTGGGTCCTTCCTTGCTTTGCCACCAACTAATCAGGAGACCTTGCAACCATGGGTTGGAGTCCACAATGGTCAAATGAGAACACAAAATGGTGGCAGCTTTATGGAAGGACTGACCCGATTTTCAACACATTGTCCCATATAACATTTGGGACATATATTCTGTGCCATATGGTGCTTTACAGTTTGTTTTTTAAACACAAGTTTGTTTTTTTCAGTCCCCTTCTTTACTAAAATTCAATTACTTTTTGTGTTGGAATAAGGATTTGAAAACAATATATACACTATCTAAACATTTTGTAAAATAGTTCTTAGGCAATTACCAAGGTCCTCTAAGCAGTCCACATTGCTTTTTTTTCAGTTACTATTGTAAATGAAGACTGGCAATGTGAAAACATGACTCCTTGTCAAATTGTTCACCTATTACTTGAAATTGAACGTGCAGAATTAATTTTAGCCTGGTCTTGGAATTCCATAATCATTTTCCTTAATGCTTTTCTTTTTGGAAGCATAAGGATCCTAATAATATGTTTTATTACAAGCTCCTAGGCTAGAAAGGAGTCAGTAAGCTGGCTAGAACCTGAGTAGCCAGAATTGCTTTGGCAGAATGAATGCTAAGCAGTAATAATTACCGCTGTTGATGGAATTCACTGTTTCCTCTCCTTTTCACTTGAGCCCAAAGAAATTGAAGTCAATGAAGCATTATTAAGAAAAAATTAATATTTCTCCCACAATGTAGAGCATCTACAGCACAATATGCTACAAAATTCCTATTTTATACCTATGCAAATCATTAAGTTGATTTAAATATTGCCATAGCAGGAGTCAAAATTAAAAACTAGTATCTAGAAAAGACTTTAAAAACACATTAAAGTGTATTAGACATACAGAAAAATGTACACATAATAAGGCGACTTGGTGGATTTTTAAAATTTTAGTATAGCCCAACACCTAGGCCAAGAAATGGATATTGCCAGCTCCCCAGGAACCACAGGTGCTATCTCCAATCCCTGCGTCCCACCTCTCCAAAGGTTGACTGACTTCTAACAGCTGTTTGGTTCTTTCTGTTTTTGAAGTTCATGTAAAGTAGCATTGTATACTACGAAGTCTTTTGTGTTTACCTTCTTTTGCTCAATACCATGTTTGTGAGATTGATATTCATCTGTGCCATTATAGCAATAGTTTTGCTCATTCTCATTGCTGTACAGTATTAGGTCTTCTACATGCACTTCTCTTGGTCATACTGTTAGGAGGGAAAATGCTGGAACACTTGGTGTACACGTTTGGCTGCATTCCAAACCAAAGTTGTTTTATTAACTGATACTCCTGTCAGAACTGATTGAGGGGTTCCATTGCTCCAGATCCTCACTAATACTTGAACTGTTGTCTTTTCCATCTTAACAATCCTGGTGGTATATAGTCATTTCTACTATGGTTTCCGTTTCTATTTCTATAATGTCTAATGACGCTAAACAATCTTTTTACATACTTACTTTCTTGTTAGTCACTTTTAGGAAGTGTCCATTCAACTCTTACCTACTTTTAAAATAGGAGTCTGCCTTTTCCTTAGTAATTCTCCCTTTTCATTCTGTTCAAGGTGCCACTGAAGAATTTAGAGTCCTTTGTCAAAGTTAGTTGCCACTTGTTTAGATGTCTGCTCCTTTTACAGTTCAGTGCTCTATCACAGCAGAGAAACCTTGGAATCAGGTGAGCTTAGCACTAAGGGGAGGATTTCCTCTTCTCCTTTCTCATCACTGTTTCAATTTTGTTGCTGACATGTGACTTTAAAATCAGTTCAAAGTAAAGTGAAATACCATTACACTCAGATAAGACAGACTCAGTTTGAGACTTAGCTTGATCACTGGCTAAATAACTAGCTGTTTCTCTGAGCCTGTATTCTGTTGGAAAAAAACACGGACAATGATAACTGAACTTGACAAGTTTCTCCTGAAGATTTAATAAAGAATGGTGCCTGGAAATTAACCACACAATTTTACTACTTACAGATCTAGTAACTTACTAAGAAAACTTTATGCCTATATGCCTTCATACCCTCTATCTATGGACTGGTAGTGAGGCTTCACAGAGCAAAGGGTTTTCTGGAATCCGGCCTTATTGGCACAGGCATTTCTCTCCCATGTCACAGCTCAAAAAGGACAAGTACACTAGAGCTTGTCTTCTGAGTTTCATCCAGCCTCGATTTTACCTTACACAAACATGTTTCCCCTGACAGTGATGTTAAAAGCTTGGCAAGCATGCTTTCACAGTTGGTTGTTTTGTTGTTTTCTTATGAGGTGATATGGTTTCTGTCAGAGAAAATTTATAGTCACACTCACATGCTCAATCAGAAATAGTATGCTAAGAGGACTTTAGGCAGCTCAACCAGGCAAGAAGCAAGCATTCAGATTTCCTAGGGCAGCACTCACTCCTCAGATGGAACCTAATATTTTGCACTATTAATATCTAGCCTATGAAACAACCATATATAAATGATAAGAAAAATGTTGATTTTTGGATGAAAAAATTAAGTTTCAGGCATGTACTCATAAGACAGTGACATTCAAAAGAGTTTAACTATAGAGTTAAAGACACACAGGTCCAGAGGTAAGTTACCTAGAAAGTCTCAGTGTCATGGGGTGGCAAAGTCAAGATGAAGAATCTATCAGGATGGAGTCTGTGTTTTTCAAGACGAGACATCAATGCATGGCTGCTAGGCAGTGATCAACAGTTCCAACAAAAGCTATCAACAGAATCTCACTGGAGACTTGTAGCCCAAAAAGGAAACAACGGAAAGACAAGGGCTGGAAAAGCAATAAGGAAGTGCAAGAAAGGCAGGGTCTAGAGATGAGCTCCTGGGAGGTCTACCCCAGACATACAAGACTGGTTAGTTCCATCACTTTACTCTTCTCTAATTAAAAGGTAAGCTCTATACTTACACAGAGTTAAAGAAGATAGGAAAGCAATTTGCTGGGCCATACCCTATGGTTGGGCGGAGACATGAATAAACCAAAATAGAAAGTCACAACCAAAGTACGTAGAAAAACACTGCCTCCGTTAAAATAATTATGTTCACAGTAACAACAGCTTTACAATTGCAGCATGAGAGGATCCCTCCTCTCCCATAGAGTGGAAACTGCCTTCATTTCTCCCTTTTAGAGGCCCTTTACAGTACTATTTAGGCCTTGCTATCTATTAGCTCAGGTTGAATGAGATGGAACCGACAACTTTGTAATTTAAAAAACAGTGCATATCAGCAATTTCATCTAGTTAAACTCTGCATAAAATCATGATACTTATGTTTTGGGGTCACTTAAATTTCCATCAGCTGCACTATCTGCCGAGTGAAAGTATTCTCATTTGATAGGTTGTTAATTGGCTATATTTTAACCAATACATTTCAAAAGAATAATTTTTAAAGCACTCAAAAATTACACAAAACAAAACTAGAAGTATCTTATACTATAAAATATACAACATTAAAATAGCTAAGATCTTAGAATAACAAGCACAGGAAGCCAACTGGGGAATAATACTGTGTCCTCCCTTATATGTGGCTTTATTTTTCAGTTTTGGTTAACCTGAGTCCAAAAATATTAAATAGGAAATTCTAGAAGTAAATAATTCATAAGTTTTAAATTGTATGCCATTCTGAGTATGATGAAATATCTTCTAATTCTGTCTTAGCCAGGTACTAAATCTTCCCTTTGTCCAGTGTATCCACATTGTATATGATACCTATCCATTCCTTAGTCATTTAGTGGCGGTTTTGACTGTTATCAGATCAACAGTTGCAGTATCACAGTGCTGTGTTCAATTAGCCCTTTATTTGCTTAATAACTGTGTAAGAGTAGTTATGCTGGTAATTCAGATACGCCAAAGCAAATTTATAAAGTACTTCCTTTACATGAAAAAGTGAAAGGTTTTGGTTTAATAAGGAAAGAAAAAATTGTACACTGAGGCTAAGATTTACAGAACAATATTTTGAGAGGGTGAGAGAAAGATAGGCAGGAGAGAGAATGCATGCATGAACACATGCACATAACTTTTATTACAGTACATTGTTATAATTGTTCTATTTTATTATGTGACTTAATCTTTCACTGTGCCTAATTTATAACTAAATTTCATCATAGGTATGAATGCATAGGAAAACATGGTATATATAGGTTTGGTACTCTTTGTGGTGTCAGGCACTCACTGAGGGTCTAGGAATATATCCCCTGTAGGTAATGGGTGACTACTGTAGTTATTGACATGGAACATTTTTTTAATTGTTTTATTAATCATATGTGCATACAAGGCTTAGGTCATTTCTCCCCCCCAGGCCCTGCCCCCTCCCTTACCACTCACTCCATCCCCTTCTTCTACCCTCCACCCCCTCAATACCCAGCAGAAACTATTTTGCCCTTATCTCTAATTTTGTTGAAGAGAGAGTACAAGCAATAATAGGAAGGAACAAGGGTTTTTACTGGTTGAGATAAGGATAGCTATACAGGGAGTTGACTCACATTAATTTCCTGTGTGAGTGTGTTACCTTCTAGGTTAATTCTTTTTGATCTAACCTTTTCTCTAGTTCCTGGTCCCCTATTCCTACTGGCCTCACTTGCTTTAAGGTATCTGCTTTAGTTTCTCTGCATTAAGGGCAACAAATGATAGCTAATTTTTTAGGTGTCTTACTATCCTCACCCCTCCCTTGTGTGCTCTTGCTTTTATCATGTGCTCAAAGTCCAATCCCTTTGTTGTGTTTGCCCTTGATCTAATGTCCACATATGAGGCAGAACATACGATTTTTGGTCTTTTGGGCCAGGCTAACCTCACTCAGAATGATGTTCTCCAATTCCATCCATTTACCAGCAAATGATAACATTTTGTTCTTCTTCATGGCTG